GGGCCGCGGCGCCTGGCGGGAACGCTGCCCGCCGAGGGCGGGGCTCTACCTGTTGGGTTCTGGGCGCTGCACCGTGGGCCGGACCGGGATCGGGCGATGCCGAGGCGCGAGGTGATGGCGAGACCGCTTCCACCTGCCGGGAGGGCCGTCTTTGACCTCAGGGCTGGTTTTGTGACACCCTGCTGGGGGGGAGTTGCAGAGGTAGCCTTACCGCTGCCCACCCACCGGAAGCAGGGTGTCAGAGCGCCGCCCCACCTCCCCACCCGGGGCAGGGGCAGGGGCAGGCGAGGCGGGAGGATGCCCTCCGACCTCCTGCTGCCAGCCGTGACCCTGACTGCATGGTTCTGAATTTGCTGAGGAAACAGCATTATTTGCGTTCGAGCCCGGAGAGCTAGTCCCCTCCGACCCTGGGAGATTGAGCTTGGGGATATGGGTGAGTGCTGCCATCTTTAAAAATGCTTCTGCAAGCCGGGGCACCGGAGGCTCACACGAGGAGGCTGAAATCTGAGGATCATGGTTCAAAGCCAGCCCAGGCAGGAAAGTGCAGGAGACTCTTACCTCCAGTTAATGACCCAGAAAAGCTGGAGGTGGAGTTGTTGTGGCTCAAATGGTAGAGATACTACTTTGATGACTACTGCAGAGATATTACTTTGATGACTTTGCCAACTCAACTTCATCTGAGTGCCCCTCACACCAGCAGATTTTGCCTCCTCTTCCCTTCATCTTCCCGGTGACACACCTTCCTGCTAGCCTTTTTAGCTTAATATACTCTGGAGATAGCCTTAAGTATCATTTATGCAAGAAAAAAACTTAGTCTTTAAGAGTCATAGTTTTAACCAGGTGTTGGTTGCCTGTGTTTATAATTCTAGTTACTCAGGAGGCTGAGATTTTAGGATTAAGATTCAAAGTCAGCCCAGCCAGATAAAAGTTCGTGAGACCTTTATCTCAGTTAACCATAAGCTAAAAATGGAGCTATGACTCAAGTGGTAGAATGTCATCCTTGAACAGGAAAAGCCAAGGGATGGCACCTAGGCTCTGAGTTCAAATCCTAATACTGGCGCACACGCACTTGCACGCACACACACAAAAGGAAAGAAAAAAAGAATCTGAATCAGTGCAAACCACTTCCTAACCAAGTCCAGTCTTTGTTTGTGTATGTTTGTGCTCACTCGTAGTATTAAAGCTTGAATCGAGGGCCCTGTACTCTCCTGTTGTTTTTTCTTTCAAGGCTGGTGTTCTAAACTTGAGCACATTTCCACTTCTGGCTTTTTGCTGGTTAATTGGAGATAAAAGTCTCACAGACTTCTGTGCCTGCCCTGGCTTTGACTATGATCCTCAGATCTTGGCCTCCTGAGTAGGTAGGGTCACAGGCATGGGCCACCCTTGATCAGCTCCATCCAAGTCCAATCAAAGCAAAGCTGCCATGAACGTACCACTGAAGGTTTATACTAGAACACAGCTCTCTGCTCCGTAGTGGTACATGTGTTAGTCGAGTAGTGGAGGCTGCTGGTGCGCTCAGCCGTGCCTGTGAGTATTCCTTCCCGGTTTCTCTCCTGCACTGAGAGGTCACTGTGTTGTGTTGCCTTCAGGTTGCTATCATGGGCATCTGTGAGTCGATCCTGGAGCGGAAGCGGCACGACAGCGAGAGGTCCACATGCAGCATCTTGGAGCAGACAGACATTGAAGCTGTCGAGGCTCTTGTTTGCATGAGCTCCTGGGGTCAGAGAGTCCAGAAAGGTGACCTGTTAAAGATGAGACCCCTCACACCTATCTCCGACTCTGGGGATGTCAGCAACAGCGTGCTGATGGATGCCACCGTACCTGAGCTGCCAAAGGACTTCCACTCTTTTTCAACTCTGGTAAGTGTGTGTGGGTGGTGGGGCGGGGCACACTTCGTGAGCTTCCTAGAGTGACATCAGTACATCAGTAAATGTGTTGAAGAACTTGGGGGGGCAGCCGGGAGCTGGTGGCTCACTCCTATACTCCTAGCTACTCAGGGGGCTTAGCTCTGAGGATCGTGAAGCCAGCCCAGACAGAAAAGTCCCCAGAAGACACCTCCAATAAACTACTCAGAAAAAGCCAGAAGTGGCGCTGTGGCCCAAGTGTTAAAGCACTAGCCTAGAGCATAAAGAGGCTTAGGGACCGCACCCGGGCCCTGAGTTCAAGCCCAGGACCAGGGGGGGAAAAAGAAACTGTGGAAAGATTCACTGGGGTGCTGGCCTGTCCTCTGTGGAGGCAAAAGGGTAACCCTTCCTCTCTTGCAAACGTTGCTTGACCCTAACTGCAATAGCTGCATGGCCGCGTGCATCTGATGGAGGATGGATGTGGGAAAGTGAAACTCACCTTGCTAGGGAGACTTGAGGTGGGGTCTTAGATTTTCCCAGGGACCCAGCTTAGGGTCCATGTTGGGGGTGGCAGGGGGCGGGGGGAGAGGGAGAGAGATGAGAAAAGCTGGGCCTTGGCTTGTCTTGCTTGCCAAAACTGGTATCTCTGCCTGCTAGGAAAATGGATTTTATGTGTGATTTAGGTGCAGAAATGACTGTCTTTTAATTTTAACTCGTAATGTACTACATGTAAGAAATAGCCTAGAGAAACTGGCATGTTAGAGTGAAGTTGAGACCTATACATTACTAACAAAAATGTGGGAGGGCTCAGGCAGGAAGCTGCCACTGCAGAAGCGCAGGTTTGGAGAGGGCAAAGCTTGTGAGCTCTGGCCTGGCTATGGGTTGCTCAGAGTCCTCAGAATCGGCCCTTCCATGCAGTAGCTGGAGAGGATTTGGAATTATTGGGGAGCAGTACAGAGACGGTGGGTTCAAGCCACTTAACATTTTGAGAATCTGCAAGTATTGTGGAAAGCGCTAGTTTGGAAGGATGGATTTGCTTTTGTGTAGTCTTGATGCTGGAATTACTCTTTTCAGTAGCCATGCAGGGCCTGGAGGGGCTTATCACTCCCTCCCATAGAGCACAAGTGTTGCTTGGAGGAAAGGAGGGGGTTCCATGATGGGAGAAGCCTGCCTTTTGCAGCCGGGAGACCTGCTGGGGTGTTGAATGGTTCAGACCAGCCTTCTCTAGATGCATACTTTCTGTGTGTCTGCCTGTCCTGGGACTTGAGCTCAGGATCTGAGTTAGTGCTCTACTACCTCAGTCACAGCTCCGCTTCTGGCTTTTTGCTGGACTTTCTTACCTCGTCTGGCTTTGAACCTCAATCCTCAGATCTCAGCCTCCTGAGTAGCTCAGATTAGAGTCCTGACCCAGCCACACCTGCTAGCCACATCCTTTTTTTAAGGCATTTAGGGCAATGTGACCAAGGAAGTTCCATTTGAAGTTTAACCAAAGTATCCTGGGATTGCTACCCAGCACTGGTAAAAAGCCAACGCAAAAGTTCAGGTAAAAATAAGAGCTGTTAGTAAATTTGGAAGATGACATAGTACTAAGAAAAAATATAACCAACCTGGACAACTGGTGGCTCATGCTGTAGTCCAAGCTACTCAAGAGGCTGAAATCTGAAGATTGGGGGTTCAAAGCCAGCCTGGGCAGGAAAGTCCATGAGACTTTTATCTCCAGTTAACTACTAAAAAGCCAGAAGTGGGGCTGTGGCTCAAATAATAGAGTGCTGGCCTTGAGCAAAAAAGCTCAGGGTCAGAACGCAAGCCCTAAATTCAAGCCCCAAAACCGGCATGCGTGTGTGCGCATTTACACACACGCACACACATGTATGTATGTATGTGTATATACGTATGTATAAAGCAAAACAGTCTTTCACATGGTACTTTTTTTCTGCTTTTAAGTGCATAACTCCTCCGCAGAGCCCGGAGCTCATGGAGCCATCCACAGGGACACCTGCACCCTCCCAAGTAACGGATTCCAAAGCGCCCTCCCCGGCAGGGATGTCGGTGCTCAGCGGAAGCGAGGAGAAGGGCTCCCTGGAGCCTGCCCCCAGCCTGCTGTGCAGGGCTATGGCCACGAGCGTGACCCGTCACACTGGGCTGAGTCCCGCCCCGGCCTGCTTTCCCGCCACCCAGGCTCACGAGCAGCGGTCAGCCACGGGCAGAGAAGGAGCGGCGCGGTCTGCGGGACGCGCTGGGCGTCCTGAGGCTTTGGCGGATGCACACCTGGCAGCAGATGTCCTCACCACTAACTTCCTTTCCTGTCAGCCTCACTTGCACTCATTGGAAGGCCTGCTGCCCGCCTCCCAAGGCCAGCAGGCCAGGTGGCCCGCGGCAGCGCAGGCCTGCTCACCAAAGAAAGTTGAAAATGACTTACCAAGGAAAAGCACCCCTGTGGTTTCCATCCCTGTCGCCAGCCCCCCTGTCCTTTGCCAAATGATCCCCATGTCCGGACCGAGCACCGTGCTGTCAGCTATCCTGAAGCCCCCCCTCCTGCCATCCTCGGGGACTGTCAAGCCCATCCTACCCCAGGCCACGCCGGCGCCTCCGCAGGTGCTCGTGGGCCCGCCTGTGCCTCAGGGAAGTGTGATGCTGGTGCTGCCGCAGGCCACCTTTCCCCAGCCTGCCGCCTGCCCGTCCAGCGTCGTGGCTATTGGCAACACCAAGTTGCTGCCCCTGGCTCCTGCCCCGGTGTTCATTGCCTCTAGCCCAAACTGTGCCCCTCAGGTAGACTTTTCCCGAAGGAGGAACTACATCTGCAGCTTTCCTGGCTGCCGGAAGACCTACTTCAAAAGCTCCCACCTCAAGGCCCATCTTCGCACACACACGGGTGAGTACTGGCGCAGGGCGGTGACGGTGGATTCAGAACACCTCCCTTGAGGGGAGGGAGGCAGGGGACCACTGGAGGAGGGAAAGGGGGATATAACATGCTCATAGCCGGGTGCTGGTGGCTCACACTTATTATCCTAACTGCTCAGGAGGCTGAGATCTGAGGATCGCAGTTCAGTCCAGGGAGAAAAGTCTGTGAGACCCTTATCTCTAGCTAATCACAAAAAGGCAGGAGTGGAGCTTTGGCTCAAGTAGTAGAGCACTAGTCTCAGAGCCAAATATCTCAGGAACTGAGTTTGAGCCCCAGGACTGGCACCAAAAACAAAAAACCTCACATGCTTGTCATGACTTGGATTGTGATTAGTGGACGCATCAGTTCCAGGGCCCTCCCCTGACCCTCAGGACTGACAGTGCTCCCTTCTCCACGGTGCATTTTAGAAAAGGTGCATTGACATTAAGTATAGCAGTGGTTTGGAGAAAGTCCAGCTGGCCAAATTCACATGGTAGAATAGCTGAACAATATGGGTGTGTTGCTTTAGAGAATATTTAAAAGAAGTCACAGGCAGGTGCTAGTGGCTTGCGTCTGTGAGGAAGTCCATGAGGCTCTTTCATCTCCAACTACCCACCAGGAAACTGGGTGGAGCTGTGGCTCAAGTGGTAGAGCACTAGCCCTGAGCGAAAAAACTCAGGGACAGCGCCCAGGCCCTGAGTTCAAGCCCGACGAAAACAAAAAGCCACACCACAGTGACCAAGTAGTCTCTTGCTTGTCCAGTCAATTCTGTCCAGTGGGTTTTTCTGCAGAGATGGGAAGGTTCTGTCCATAGGGGGAGCTGTTAGCCACAGGCACTGGAAAGCAGACCCATGTGACCAAGAGATATACATTGTCATTAGCTAGGATTCTAGGCCTGAACCATGGTGCCCAGCCTGTATGTTTTGAAACTCCCCTACCATGGAGCCCTCTCCCCAGAATGTCTGCCTCATGCGCTCCGATACAGGGAAGGCTGAGGAGCAGGGGTAACTGCTCTGCTGCATTTGAAAATCCTGTTGAGGTGGACTGGCTCTGAGGGGCACAGTTCCCTCTGACCCGTGGCGGCCCCTGCTCACAGAATGGAATGCTGTCTAGTGTTCAGACATTCCGGAAGGAACTCTACTGTTCCTTCATGCTGTGGAGTACATGTTGGCTTAGGAATAAGCCCCTACACCTGCCTCTTTGCCAGAGCAGATCCAGCCTTCTGTGATACTCCCTATTTCCACTCTTCTCCCGCAGCCCTGGGCCGCGAGTAGCTGGTGGAGGCCTTCCAACGGTCTCATCGCTTCTTGGCCTTTTTCTTTTTTGATCCTGGTGGTTCATGGTGTCTCACCATCTCCCTTTGTTTGTTGCTTATGGACTGGTCTAATCACACTGGATATACATTGCTCATGCCTAACGCTAGTAAGTGGGTTGGCCCTTAGCAGGGGGGGTGTTGCAGAATGAAGGGGTGCTTCTAGGAATTGACCTGCTCTGTTTTCATTGGCTTGCTGGTGTGGGATGCTCTACTGTCTGCTGAGTCTGTCTGGGTGCACTGCACACGGCAGCAGCACTTCCAGATTTGTGGAGGTGATGAGATGAGTTTTATCGTCGGTTCCATCTCTCCTGGCAGAACTGCCAACAAACCAGCAAAAACCATGGCAGTCTAAGCAAGCTCCTTCATGCTTTCCAAGCTCAATTTAAGTAACAAAGGGTTCCGAAGAGCCCCTGCTGTGCCATATTGTAGACATTTCATTGGCGTTTTTTAGGAGAAATAGAAGATTTGGGCAAATTTACTTGGATAAGAAGATCCCTTCAGCCAGGCGCTGGTGGTGGCTCACGCCTGTAATCCTAGCTACTCAGGAGGCTGAGAGCTGAGGATCGAGGTTGGAAGCCAGTGAAGGCAGGAAAGTCCATGAGACTCTTACCTCCAGTTATTCACCAAAAATCCAGAAGTGGAGCTGTGCCTTGAGTGGTAGAACGCTAGTCTTGTGGTTTGTTTGGTTTTTTTTTTTTGGTCAGTCATGGGGCCTGAACTCGGCCTGGGCGCTGTCCCTCAGCTCTTCAGCTCAAGGCTAGCGCTCTACCACTTGAGCCCCAGCCCCACTTCCGGCTTTTTCTGCTTATGTGGTACTGAGGAATTGAACTGAGGGCCTCATGCATGCAAGTCAAGCACTCTAAGCACTGAACCACCTTCCCAGACCAAGACTAGAAGGCTCGTCTTGAGCAAAGAAGCTCAGGGTCAGCACCCAGGGCCTGCCTGCGGTCAAGCTCCAGGATCGGCACACAAAGAACTTTTTTTTTTGGTCAGTCATGGGGCTTGAACTCTGGGCCTGGGCGCTGTCCCTCAGCTCAGCTCTTCCACTCAGGCGAGCGCTCTACCACTTGAGCCACAGTGCGACTTTCAGTTTTCTAGTGGTTTATTGGACATAAGAGTCTCACAGGCTTTCCTGCCCGGGCTGGCTTTGAACTGCAATCCTCAGATCCCAACCTCCTGATAGCTAGGATTACAAGCATGAACCACCGACGCCCCGCTAAAAATAATATTTTTTTAAGTGAAAAGTAGAATAATGTGGAGGGAATCGATAGTCATTTTCGATGCATTGAAAACGAGATGGGGAATTGTGTCAGTGCCTGTCGGGTTGCCAGGCCTGGACGTTGAGCATGCTGTCCGCAATGGTGGGGACAGGACCGGCTGCGGGAAGGTGACTGCCTGAGTCTGTCTCCTGCTGCTTTAACAATACCACAGACAGGAGTTTAGCAAAGAAGAGAGGGCTGGGGAGCGCAAGCTTCCAGAACCTCTGGAGGCTGGGAAGCCCAAGAGCACAAGCCCAGCCTCCCGTGAGGCCTTGCACTGCCTCAGAGCAGGGCAGAAGGCCTCACTGGTGTTCAGCATGCCAGAGCGCATGCTCTTGTAACTCCTCCCCTCCGGGGCCTGTGTGAATCCATGGCCACCTACCACGGGGCCCACCTTGCGAATGCCACTGGCTTTGGACTTGGGGTTAGGTTCCCAGCATGGAAATTTGAGGGACATATTCAAACCATGCTTTTTTTGGTGTGGGCCCGTCCTGGGCTTGAGCTCAGAGCCTCGTGCTTGCTCAGCTTTTTCCATTCGTGACTGACTACCACTTGAGCCACACCTCTGCTTCCACAAGCTTGCCCCTACTGTGGGGTGTTTGAAATCCATGGAATTTAAGGCCTGTCTATCTATAAGGGTGTTTGCTTATTAATCCAACCAAAAAGCATGTTTGTGTCTCTTCAATACTCATTCACTTAAAACCATTTACTCACTACCTGCTAGATGAAGTTCACACGCTTACAAAGCTGCATAATTGCAGCCATCGTGCGGGTGGTGCGGGTTTGCCCCGTTGTGCTGGGGAAGGCCCCAGGGTGCAGAGTGCCGTGCGTGACCCTGTGCCTTCCTCCCACTGAGGAGGGCTGCCTGCCTGAGGTCTCACCCATCACCAGCCCAGCACCCGCTGGGACAGGGAGGCCTGCCAGGAACTGTGAAGTTTTGATTGAATGCTAGATCCTTGCAGCTTTTAATAGAAAGGTGTCTATTTGAATACAGTACTAACCTTGCCATTTTGAAACTAAGGTTTAATAAGAAATATGGAGATGAGTCTGGGAAGGTGGCTCAGTGGTAGAGTGCTTGCCTTGCGTGCATGACGCCCTGGGTTCGATTCCTCAGCACCACGTAAGCAGAAAGCAGAAAGTGGTGCTATGGTTCAAGTGGTACAGTGCTAGCCTTGAGCAAAAGAAGCTCAGAAACAGACAGTGCCCAGACCCTGAGTTCAAGTCCCAGGACTGGCAGAAAAAAAAATAATAAGCCTAGGAGGAGCCAGGCAGTAGTAGCTCACGCCTATAATCCTAGCTGCTCAGGAAGCTGAGGTCTGAGGGTCACAGTTCAGTCAGCAGGAAAGCCCATGAGACTATCTCCAGTTAATCACCCAGAAAAGCTGGAAGTGGAGCTATAGCTCAAGTGGTAGAGTGCTAGCCTTACGCACAAAAGTTCTGGGACAGCCAGGCGCTAATGGCTCCTGCCTGTAATTCTAGCCACTCAGGAGGTTGGAAGCTGGAGTTCTGAGAATCATGGTTCAAAGCCAGCCTGGGCAGCAAAGTTCATCAGACTCTTACCTCCAATTAATCACCATAAAAGCCAGAAGTGGAACTGTGGCTCCAAGATGGGGGGCGGGGCGGGGAAGGGGGACACGACTAAACCCAAGACGACCTTAGGAGGAATGTGCAACTCTCTTTTCCCCAGTCTTAGCGGTTCCCGCCTGTAGTCCAGCTGCTCAGAGGAGGTGGAAGTCGGAGAGTACAGTTAGGCAGTCTGGTAGCAAGATCCCAGTAAGCTGCGTGTGGGAGTGAGCATCCATCGTTCCAGCCAACCTGCAGTGGCGAGTGGAAGGATGGTGGTCAAGCAGCAGGCAGCTTCCATGACCCTACCCAAAAGACAGAGCAAGAGGCTGGTGGCGTGGCGCGGCGGCAGCGCCCGCCTGCAGACACAGGCTCTGAACTCAAACCCCAGTACTAACCAAAGCAAGAGGGATCTTCCTCCCCAGACGCAGGAGAATGGTGTTTCTGGCCAAAACGGGCTACAGAGCAAGTCCACGTCGAAGAGGAGGAGGAGGGAAATCTTCCTCCTGCCCCAAGCTATAGTGAAACTTATTTTCATATTTTAAAGTCTGTTTTGAAGGATTCAGTTGAATCTTCAGTTGAAGAGCGCTTGCCTAGGAAGGGCAGGCCCTGTCCTGGGTTTAGTCCCCCCGACTGCACGTGTGCACGTGCGCACACATAACACACGCACACAGGTTTAAAATGCGTTTTCAAAGCTGGGCGAGGAGGCACACACCTGTAATCCTAGCACTTGGGACTCAGCAGGAGTGCCAGCCTCGTCTGTATAGGAGGACCACCTATGTATGTGTGTATACACACACACCTATACTTACACATGCATGTGGGCTGGGAAGGTGGCTCAGTGGTAGAGCGCTTGCCATGCACGCATGAGGCCCTGGGTTTGATTCCTCAGCACCACATAAGCAAAAAGAAAAAAGCTGGAAGTGGCGCTGTGGCTCAAGTGGTAGAGCGCTAGCCTTGAGCTGAAGAGCTGAGGGACAGCGCCCAGGCCCAGAGTTCAGGCCCCACAACCGGACCCATAAATAAATAAACTTACACATGCGTGTGTATGTATGCATGTACACACAGAATGTTTTCAAATACGGTTTTGAGGGAGATCTAGGCTTGACCTTTGCCATCATGAGGCCTAGCGCGTTACCCTTAGGTGTGATTGGAAGAAATGTCTTTTGGAGGGCTCCTGCCTTCTGCGGCACTCGGTGGTGGGGTCACAGAGCACTCCTCCCCTTTTGAGAGTCCGGCGAAGGTCACGTGTGCACTTGCCTGTCCACAGGAGAGAAGCCCTTCACCTGCAGCTGGGACGGCTGCGACAAAAAGTTTGCGCGCTCAGATGAGTTGTCCCGCCACCGCAGAACGCACACGGGGGAGAAGAAGTTCGTGTGCCCCGTCTGCGACCGGCGCTTCATGCGCAGCGACCACCTGACCAAGCACGCCCGGCGCCACATGACCACCAAGAAGATCCCGGGCTGGCAGGCGGAGGTGGGCAAGCTGAGCAGGATTGCCTCGGCAGAGGGCCCCGGCAGTCCCCCGCCGCCCTTGCCAGCCTCCGCCTGAGAGGCAGCACTGGACCCACCACCGGCCGGCGCGGCGACTGCGCTGCCTTGCTTTTCTGGCCAGGGCCTGTGTCTTTTGTCGTTTCAGAAGGGTTTTGTTTGGTTTTGTGTTTTAGAGGAAATGGAAGAAAATTTGACCGTCTGAATCACCAGCACTCAAGCAAACATTTCGGCAATAAAGTTTACAAATTCTGGATTATTCGCAACCTTTCTATTCATGTTTTGTAGAAATGAGACAGGGTACTAATTTTTATACTTTTTTATAAAAATATTTATATTGTCGGTGCTCCAGTCACCAGTTTCTAGATAAGATGATTTACAGCCTTTTTTTTCCTGTGTTCAGTAACAACGTTGTATAATGACCCCACTTTTAGGAAGCTTGGTGCATTGTTCAGAAGTTCTGAGGTCTAAAAAGCTCTTTTAGACCTCAGAACTTTCTGGAATCATAACTGGTGAGTGAGGGTCTCTTAAAAGGGAAAAATACATTTCCTAGTCAACTGACTAGCATAGTAGCTTCTAGAGAATCCCATGCCATAGTCCTGCAGCCCAAGGAACAGACATCCCAGCTGGCTAGGACTCGTCACCTGTGTCCATGGTGCAGTGTTTGAGGGATGCCGGAGAGTCGTCGGGTCCCTGGCCAGCTGTGGCAGGGCCTGGGCAGGGCCCGCATGACCCGCATAGAGCAAGGGAGCGGCTGTAGACACTCAGACAGGGCTGCCTGGGCAGTGACGGGCTGACAGTTGTCCGTTTTCTTTCCGTGTGAGCAGAATGATTGCTGAGAGAAAAGCAAGTGCTCCTTGATCCCTGATCTTACCAAAGCTCAGGTCATCTAAAGAGAGGTGTGCGCCGACACATGGATTCCTTTATTAAGTGTGGAAAACTAGAGGAAAGGTGTGCCCTGTCGCTGTAACGCCACCTCACGGCCCTTTAGTTCATTTTGTTAGAAGGAACAAGCTTACCAAAATAGGGTTTCTACAGTCTACCTAGAAAGGCGCCACAGCTGCGCGGGTCCACGCCGCCACAGACGCTGTGCTGGGGAAAGGCTAAGTTCAACAGAAGCACACCAAAACAGGGAACGCACCACGAGTGATTTGCGTAGCCTCGGAATTCTTTTTTTTTTTTTTTTGCGCAGTATGCATTCATTTTATATATTAATTTTATATCTGCCTTTTAGTTATTGGCACTTGAATTTATTGAAATGATGGTAAGGGGAAGTATGGATAATTAAGTAAAACTAGGTTCTGTGTTCAGGTCTTTGTAACCCTTACCTGCTCATTCATGGTATGTAGTTGATACCCATTAAGTGCCCTTTGTAGCAACTGCTTGTCAACACATGTATGTATGTATGTATGTATGTATGTATTAGGAAATTTTCACATTTTGGACTGTTTGGAGTTGAATGTTCCTGTTGACCTAAGCAGGTGCAATGCAAGAGAATCACACAACGTAACTGGACAGAACATAGCTCATGCGCCCCTTTGCCCCGCCTCCTCCCTCCCCGCCCTAAGCCAGCAGAAACACTTGTGACCGTCTGTGTTCTAAATGGCGTCGGCTCTGATACTCAGCAGTGTTCGGCCGCAGCTCCGGTGGGCAATGGAGTCTTTGAGGATTTGGTGTTCGTTGCACAGCACTTTGTTCTCTGAACAGTATCTCTTTCTTTTCTACCGAAGAGATACGTTGGAATGGTTTTAATTTAAGCTTCTATTTCCTGTTTAGATTTAGAAATGCCTCTGTAAGAGACACCCCCCTCCCCATTGTCTGTTGAAAGATCGATTGTAAGTTGGAACACTTCAGTTTTGTAAGGTCCCATCTGAGAACCCTGGTTGGTGGCCGTCCGTCTGTCCATCCTGTTCCCGTCGTCCCCTCCCTCCCCCACCCCCCTCTGCCGGGGCCCGGGTCAGGGGCTGTGCGAGGCAGGCCCGTGCACTTTATTGCTTGAGCAGTTTTGCTTCATCTTTCTTGACTTTGAGCCTTTTCGGTAGTCATAAAATTTAAAATGTTTCATGATTATGTTTTATGTAAAGGACATTATTTAAATGCCTCTGTGTGATGTAACGTTTTTCTTGGAATCATATAAAGCTTTCTTGATTTGCACCCGGCCTCGTGTCCCTGTCATCGGCCGCGCCGCTCACCTCCCTCCTCCTCTCCTTCTCGCAGGCAGTCCTGGGAGGCAGGCCTGCGCGCACGGGGCCGGGGCTCCCCACGCACGGGGCCTGGACTCCCCCCCACACACGGGGCCTGGGCTTCCCCACACACACGGGGCCTGGGCTCCCCACACACGGGGCCTGGGCTCCCCACACACGGGGCCTGGGCTCCCCCCCACACACGGGGCCTGGGCTCCCCGCGCACGCCTGCTCTCAGCTTTCATCTGGACAGTTCTTTCTCAGCAAACTGTCGCAGGCTGTCTCTGGCGGTGCTGTTCTCCCCATGCCAGGAGGCGACCTGGGAGGGGTGCTTAGAACTAAGTCCTTCCCTCCCTCACTCCCTCCAGGGAGTACCGGGGTGCAGGTCTTTGCCTTTGCTCTGGACACATTCTCCCGCCAACCCACATGGCGTGGCAGCCATGGCCCCGCACGCACCACGGAAGCTCCCCCGTGGGTGGTGCCAGGGCGGCTCAGGGCTCGGCACCCTGGGCTGAGGTGCTGGGGGCTGAAGGCCGCCATGCTGCGCTCACCACTCGCAGCGTGCTCCGTGCCGAGCCCAGACTCACGCGGTCCTAACCGGGGACACTCCCTGAGCCTCGCCTGAACCTCAGATTCTTGTGCCCACCTGTGCGCTTGACACCTGCCCTGCCTGTGCCTCAACCTCCCCACCTGCGTGTCCACCACAGAGCCAGTCCTTGTCTAAAAGAGCCCTGCACCCGTGTGAGACCTGAGCCGCCCTGCCCTGCCCCCACTCCTGCCTGCCACAGCTTCCACCCGAGGGCACGTGCCCTGGTCACCGCACCCAGTGTCACCCAACAGTGGGTCCCACTGTCTCCCAGATGTTGGCCTCGCTCCCTTCTCCCCAGGCCCCTTCCCCCTTCTCGGCAGCCACACAGCTGTTTCAGGTCCTGTGTGCCCAAAGCCCTCACTGGCTGCCGGCCTCCAGGGAGAAGCCTGAGGCCCAGCCGCAGCCCGGGCCCAGCCAGGCCCCTTCCAGCCCAGCCTGGAGCTCTCCCCCAGCCCGCTGCCGAATCTGCCGGCCAGCATGTGGAAGAACTCAGCCCCTGCCAGCAGCCTGCGGGCGTGTCTACCTCTGGCTGGGTGCTGGGGAACAGCCCGCCTCGGTCCCCACGGGGGTGGGTAGCATGGGTCTCTCGTGGAAAGAGCCCACAGTGTCTAGTGCCACCCCCTGGGCAGGGTGTGCGACCTCCTTTCCCAGTCCTGTCCTTGCTGTCCGACACACGCAGGTATGTTGGGAGCTGCTAAGTCATAAGACCTTTTGCATCCATCAATTCTGGAAAAGTCTCTCTTGTTCCCAACCCCTTTGTCTCTGGATAGCAGCACCCAGACTATGGCCATCAGCCTTAGGACATTTATCTGCTATAGCTGCTCTGTTGGCCCCAAGGTTTTGTTTTGTTTTGCCAGTTGTGGGGCTAGAACTTAGAGCCTGGGCTGTCCCTGAGCCTCTTTGTGTTCAAGGCTAGCACTCTACCACTTGAGCCACAGCGCTCCTTCCAGTTTTTGAGTGGTTAGTTGGAGATAAGGGTCTCACAGGAACTTTTCTGCCCGAGCTGTCTTCGAACCATGATCCTCAGATCTCAGCCTCCTGAGTAGTTAGGATTACAGGTGTGAACCACCAGCACCCAGCACTTTTTTTTTGTCCTGGGGCTTGAACTCGGGTCCTTGAGCTTTTGGGCTCAAGGCTAGCACTCTACCACTTGAGCCATGCCCCCCCCCCCAGTTGTCTTTTGGTAATTTATTGGAGCACAGTCTTGCAGACTTTCTTGCCCAGACTGGCTTTGAACTGTGATCCTCAAATCAGCCCCCTGAGTAGCTAGGATTACAGGTATGATCCACTTGCGCCCAGCGTGACCCCAAGATTTTTTTTTTTGGGTCCGGTCGTGGGGCCTGAACTCTGGGCCTGGGCGCTGTCCCTCAGCTCTTCAGCTCAAGGCTAGTACTCTACCACTTGAGCCACAGTGCCACTTCCGGCTTTTTTCTTTTTGCTTATGTGGTGCTGAGGAATCGAACCCAGGGCCTCATGCATGCAAGGCAAGCGCTCTACCACTGAGCCACCTTCCCAGCCCTTATTTATTTTATTTTTGGTCAGCCATAGGGCTTGAACTTAGGGCTTGGGTGCTGTCCCAGAGCTCTTTCATTCAAGGCTAGCACTCTACCACTTTGAGCTACAACACCACTTCATTTCCTGGTGGTTTGTTGGAGATAAGAGTCTCATGGAGGGGCTGGGAAGGTGGCTCAGTGGTAGAGTGCTTGCCTTGCATGCCTGAGGCCCTGGGTTTGAGTCCTCAGCACCACATAAGCAAAAAGAAAAAAGCCGGAAGTGGTGCTGTGGCTCAAGTGGTAGAGCGCTAGCCTTGAGCTGAAGAGCTGAGGGACAGTGCTCAGGCCCAGAGTTCAGGCCCCACAACCGGACCAAAAAAAAAAAAAGAGTCTCATGGACTTTCCTGCCCTAGCTGGCTTTGAACCTCAACCCTCAGATCTCAGCTTCCTGAATAACATAGGATTACAGGTGAGAGCTACCGGGGCCTGGCTCCTGGGTTTTCGTTGAGATGATAACAATCTGGTAATTCTCCGTGGGCAGGTAGATAGAAAGCATGAAAGGCATAGACGGCAAAAGGAAATTCTGAAACTTCCCAGTGTGTGGGCCCGCTCCGCTCACACACTCATTGTTGGAAACTGGGAATGACTAGACAGATCGCCAGTCCTAACAAACTAGGCCCAGAGCTCCCTCCATGGTTCCAATAAAGTAAGTTCTAGGATTCATTCATTTGAGAAACAATACAGGAGATACCCACAAGGTCATCCCCAGGATTATTTACTTCCTAAGCGCATCCTGCACTGCTGGGGTCCAGGCCTCCGTCACCTGGATGACTTTAGAGGCCCAGGTGAAACCTTCCAACACCAAGTTCCCACCCCTGACTCTTCAAAGACCCCCACACCCTCACAGTAAAGTCCAAACGCCCTGATGTCCACACATAGCAAGTAATGGAGTCTGGAACACAGGTCAAAAACCTCCTCAGCCCATGGCCACACCTTCCTTCCCTCACTAACGTCGGTCCAAGAGCTTTCCAATGCCTTCGGGAACACCTGGTCCCTCCTTACTGGACCTCATCCAAAGCCATGGAGATCCAAAGTGGATTTTTTTTTAATTGTTTTGGTAGGTCATGGGGCTTGAACTCTGGGCCTGGGCTCTGTCCCTCGGCTCTATCAGGGACAGTACCAGCTGCTCAAGTTGGGCACTCAAACACTTGAGCCACAGTGCCGCTTCTGGTTTTCTGGTGGCTCTTTGGAGATGAGAGTCTCACGGACTTTCCTGCCTGGGCTGACTTTGAACCGTGATCCCCAGATCTCAGCCTCCTGGGTAGCTAGGATTACAGGTGTGAGGCACCCGGGCCTGGCTTTTTTGTTTTTTTTTTTAATCAGTCCTGAGGCATCAGTTCAGGGCCTAGGCTCAGTCCCGCAGCTTTTTCCTTTAAGGCTAGTTCTCTACCAGTTTGAGCCCCAGCTCCACTTCCGTTTTTCTGGTGGTTCTTTGGAGTTAAAAGAGTCTCACAGCCTGCGGGGTGCAGGTGGCTCACACCTGTAATCCTAGCTACTCAGGAGACCGAGATCTGAGATCTGAGGATCATGGTTCAAAGCCAGCTGGGGCAGGAAAGTCCATGAGACTCTTATCTCCAATAAAGCACCAGAAAACCGGAAGTGGTGCTGTGGCTCAAATGGTAGAGCGCTTGCCTTGAGCTGAAGAGCTGAGGGACAGCGCCCTGGCCCAGAGTTCAAGCCCCACGACCAACAATTAAAAAAAAAAAGTCTCACAGACTTCCTTGCCCAGTCTGGCTTCAAACTTCAGACCTCAGCCTCCTGAGTAGCTAGGATTACCTGAGCCTCCAGGGCCATTTGGCTCTGCCAGCCCGTCTTCACCAGGGCTTGTTTAGGGAGGGTGGCATGTGAGTGTGGCCAAGGGGTTCCCCCAAGACAGGACTGACCAAGGGGTCCCCCCAAGACAGGGCCGGCCAAGGGGCTCCCCCAAGACAGGACTGACCAAGGGGTCCCCCCAAGACAGGGCCGGCCAAGGGGTCCCCCTAGACAGGGCTTTGGGAAGCCCATTCTTGCAGTTTTGGTCAGGCTCTGGACCCTTCTGGAAGTCTTTACATAAGGAGGAGGCGAGGCGGCCGCAGGAATCGGGTTATGTAACGGCGCCTGGCCGCTCTGCTTCCTCTCCTGGGGCGCGGGCCAGGGAGGGGCTGCGACCCCCGAGGCCACACTGGCGGCGGCCACCCACTTACCCCGGCCTCCCCGTGTCCCCCGGGGCAGGGGGCGCCCCGCCCGGCCCCCCGAGATCGCCGCCCCCCATCGCCCGGCATCGCCCGACTCCCCCCACCCAGCCTGCGCCCGGCTGCCAGGACGCCCGGACCGGACCGCTCCCACCCAGGGGCTCAGCCCCGCCGTCACCCCAAAGGGGAGGCCGGGCCTCACCCGAGCTGGGTGAGGAAACGCAGGGCCGCAGGAGCGAGGATGCGGGGCCGACCGCGGGGAGTGGGGTGGAGTCGGGGTGCGGGGGGAGGGATGGAGTCGGGGTGCGGGGGATGGCAGGGACCGAGTCGGGGTGCGGGGGATGGCAGGGACGGAGTCGGGGTGCGGGGGGATGGCAGGGACGGAGTCGGGGTGCGGG